TTATACAATGTGCTTCTACATATGTCAATATGGATGAGTTAACGAAACGTTGAAATAAAGTTATGCATATTTACAGTTAGATGCCTTTTCCGGACTGTGTATTAGAAAAATATAAGCAAATTATTAATTAAACTAGGGTTATAAGTAGTTAAGAGGCTTCGCCTCTCATGATCATAGACTAATGACAGTTGCCTTTCGTTCTCGTTGCATGACTAATTTTTGAATTTTTTTGATGCATTGCATCTAATAATAATTGCTACTATTATTCATTATACATTTAGATACTGCTCAACTTTCTTGAAAACGGCTTTATATGGTTTTCGAGAGAAGGTATATACGTGGTAAATAGATGAAGTTGAATTTACTAGAATGGCAGGACTACATACGGGCGAGAAGAATATGTCTCGCGTGAATGTATAAAGTGCAAGTCGGTAATTCAGTAGTTTCAACGTCATAACGTGAGTTTGGTATCAAATCATGTAATCTGTGAGTCTTTGGAGTACTAAATGCGGAATAAATGGGTTTGACAGTGATAACAAATGAATCGCGAAAGTTGAAGTTCATTTGATTGCGTTGCGAAACAGCTTTGTAAACTGTCCGTCAAAACATAAATTCTCTATGGCAGAATTTTTGTCGCTTACATTATTCTTTCCCCTGAGAGTTGCCGGGATGGCGCAAGAGAAATAATAAAGGAATAAAACAAATACAAATTCTGTGCAAGTTAAAGTGTGGTAGGGTCTTCGAACTCTTTTTCAAATTTGCTTTTGTACTGAGCATGTCAGCGTGAAGGTTTATGTCGTGCTCCAATTTTTTATTTCGTAATCAGTTCTTGGTGAGACTGTTTTGACTCACTAAATTGTAAGACAACAGAAGAGGTGAGAGGTTAAAACCGCAGATTTACATCATTTGTAACCACATACCCGGCGGTTGAATATATCATAAATATTTTTGGTTTAGGTCATTCTCCTGTAGATAAGAGCTTAGTATAGTATAGGAGATGTTTTCTGACGACAACTTTTGTCAAATACATAATTATTTATTTATAATTTTTAGATAGCCAATATCATGTGACAGCGAAAAAATAAAATTTTTTTTCTCATAAACGCCGTTCGAGCGGGCTATCACGATTATAACGATACAGCTGAAAATTGCTGTACGAATTCCCAAAATTGGAAATACACTTGGGTTAGCGCGCGGTTAGGAAAAGTATAAGATCTGCAAAGATCTGTAAAAATCGTAACCTGTAAAGGTAAGTATGACAGTTTAAACTCGAAATGGGAGATCACGAGTTACGCCCGAAATCATTATCGTGGCCATACAGAAGGTACGCATTGTTCTGAAGGGTTATGATGCTAATGAATGATATGCTCGTATATATGAATTATTCTACTGCATGCCCTGACTATCTGCATTAATATTGGAATCCGTAAGAAGTATATCAAAATATTGAGAAAGGGCTCGATAATTGTGTGAACGAGATAGTGCTTGTAGCAGTACGATGTTCGGTGTATGCACCTAATCTAGCATGCAGAGAAAGATACTTTCGTTTACTGAAAGGGGTTGGTGGATTTGCAATGTGCTGCAGACAGTTATTGACTGATTGACGGGGGGAGGGGTCAGAGAAATGTTTGGAAAAGCAATTCTAATCATGAAGACAAACTGGACAAGTTTATAACAGAGAGGGGTTAAAATTTTTTTGGCCTTGAGTTATTAGTAACAGATCCATTATGTTATTAGAGTGACATCCAACAGTTCGCTGCATGACGAATAAGAATGACTATAGTCACCTACAGTCAAAGCTAGTTATACCGAATTCTACGGGACCAGAGAAAATATTCTTTATAACCAGAAATTTCTTATAACGAAGGTCACTTTTTATAGTTAAGATTATAACTATTTATAATTGGCGTAAACAGATCTTCATCATAACCAAAGTTCATTATAGCCAGCTTTGACTGCATTACTTACTACTCCTTACAAAAAGGAAAGGTACGAGATAATATATACAGAAAGATCGCCAGTTGAAATGAGCGGTTACATTCGAGTATTCGGCTAGATACACGACGAAACAATAATACAATATCCTTGGCTGAAAGCAACAACGATTGATAGAATAACGACGTCACGGCACTCACTCTTGGACTTTTAACCATCTTTGAACATATTCAGTATTGTTAGCGAAGGGTATTTACACAAGAGACGGGACGTTACACTGTGTAACGTTGATTTTTTGACTCTTAGGAATCACCAGTTAACGGCGCACGGTCAGAATCTCACTTCAACACCACAGACATTGTCAGCCTCGCAGTACTGCAACAAGCCTCTTCCATGTGTATTCTGGGGAGCAAACGAAAGTAAGTAGAGGCGTCGCATATAATCCTGAGGAATGTCCAGATTCCAAGTACACACAGATGTCTGGTATACATGCATGCGATTCTGCGTTTCGTATCTAAGAATTTCTGTCAGACAATGCAGGCGCAACCTTTCTAAAAACCCGCGCCATAGTTCGCCACACACCACCTCCTGGCTGTAATTTTCTGACGCCATCCACACCATCCGACCGCTGCATCTTTAATGAGAAAACGACTCCTTTCCAAATCATTTCCAACCAGCCATTCATTGGCGACATTGAAAACTCCACGCTAATGATTGAGCATTCTATTCGCGGGGGCAAAGCAACAACCATCGCAGTTCTCAATGGCTTAATGGACGGTAAACTAAAGGCCTCGGACGGAAAGATGATTGTCAAGTCATGGACAAATGCGACGAGAATGGATGAAAACCCGTACGCAGATGGAGATGTCGTTAAAGTTGCCGATCTGCTAACGGCTGCCGATGCGGATTTAGACGCTCCGTCGACCGTGGCGAAACGTACAGATCTTCGGGTATCGTCATTGTGATTGTGATCGAGTACAGGAACGTGCGATTCGAAAGGATAAATTCGCGTACGTCTATCTGCCTCGAGTCATAGATGGAAATAAGTACAAGGCGGTCGAGAGTCTGTATCAATCGGATGGGTCGTACATATTAAAGAGAGGCATGGCATTCGATTGGTGCTCCAGCAGCATGGGGAAATTGGAGAATTCAGTTTTATTTCGTTGCTCACAAACATCGTTGCTCTTTTCAAAGTGGCTACTATCATTGTGAGGTTCTGATGCTCAACATCGTACCGGAAAAACGTACTTATGAAAAGGCAAAGTTTGAAGTGACGGACGGTTTTGACAGTATGAGGCATGCTTCTGAGAAAAGGCTTGATAACGAGACAGAATTAGTGTAAAAAGAAAGAGTGAATGAGAGAATTTATTAGTGATAATCGCTATTACATTATAATATCGCTTATTGGAACCATGTTTAATATTAGACTCTTATTCTTCGGCGTATGCCAATTACCCCCTCTTTTCGGCCATTGCCTTGCAATTTGATTCTTTCTTTCGACGTATTCGCTGAAATAAACTCTTCCATCAAACTATCGAGGTTTCCGTACTTATGCTATCGAGTAATTTTACGAACTCCGTCTTATACTACAAACACTCCATTTTTTCTACAATCACAATCATGCTCTTACGGGCGAAGAGACATTGTAATACTTCCCGTTTCATACTTTTGACTTGTCTCTGGACGTTGAGATTACAAGGACAAATCTGGCAATTGACGCGAAGGTCAAAGAAAGTTTAGGATATTCAGGTATTTTTCTTATACGCATTATGTATAGATCAAAAACAATAGTCTATCTGCCAAGTCGGTTTTTAATAATCAGAGGAAATTTATCAAGAACGCAGCAAAATGAGACTAGTAGTATGAATTGCAGAACTTTGTGAACCTTTGTGTCTTTCGTTCAGAAGGCATGGCTGTTTGAGGCAAATAATGTGCGAGGGCCGCGCGTGTCTATCTCATGAAACTTTCCGAACGCGGAAACCCCGCTTCTGACAGCGTATCATGAAGGCTTATTGGCGGCGCTTTCCAATCAGAGTGTGGTAAACAACTTTCGATCGTACAATCCAGGCGCGCTTAAAGAGTTGGTAAGCAAGACTCCATTTGTAATACCACGTCTTCGTTGAACGTTAACAATTATTGACACGCTCTAACGTTTAATTGACATGCTGTACGTCGTCACAGCTCATTCCCTTGCCCTCAGATCTTCCCAGGACGTTATAAACTGGGGTGCACTCCTGCGTGGAGGAACACACCAATATAATTCTGAACTATCAACAGCTTAATTATTATTGAAAGTACTCATAAGAAATTACAAAATTGGCTGTATTATTAGAAAGCTTCAAGGTCTGGGCGATATGTTAGAAACCCGAAGAATGAAAGACACTGTTAAGGTTAGCCCCACGATTACGATTATTGCTTAGGATTGCTTAACTGAGAAAAGAAACAATGGTAGGCGGATTGTAATAGAATTTGTTAGTAGGATTTTACGAGTAAGGATAATTCCTTCAGTGTGAGTGAATATGGTCACAATAACAATGGCATTGGCAATATATAAGATGGCGAAAAGTCGATTACACAGTGTATCATCACGTATAGAGTCATCGCAGACACTTGTTGTTCAAACATCCAATTACATAGTTATACTGCTCTGACGAGAAAGAAAGGTACAGAATGTAGCACAAACAATTTAATAAACGCACCGAGAAACGTCGATTTCAAGGAATCCGAGGTGTGTTTTAAATTTGTCTTAACTTCAGAGACAAAGAATTTCCTGATTAACTCAGGAAGGTTTATAAATTGATAAATAATACGGTATTCACTGTTTACTTCGAAAGAAGACTACGTGGCGTAAATAATACTTCCGTACATCCGTTATCGCTTGTCGGTATAATGATAATTCGCGTTAATCTATAGGAAAGTACCTTTACGAGCATATGTTAATAAATTAATTTGCTACATATAAGTAATATTCAGCGACACGGCATGTGACTCGTTTTGTCTGTGCCGACGCATCATTATTCATTCAACAAGTGATCTAACAGTAAGCATGTAACTCAACCATATTGACATATCAATTTATTTAATTGGAAGAATGGTACTGTAAACTCGCGTAAAACTGTTTTATTCAAAATTTTTTTGGGTCACTAAATGAGGCAATAGACAAGATTAATATTGTAGATTGAATTCATTAATTGTAACCGATTACTGTCGTCATACCTGCAGCTGAATCTCTGCCATAACTGTTTCTTGGTTTGGGTAAATCTCCTGTAAGTACAGTAGGTAAGAGCTTACTAGAGTATTTACTCTCCTTTTCGAGACGTGATAAGGGGTTTACGTTGTTGTGATAAATGGCATCAATGGTCGTAGCCCACCCATAATATCACATACTAAAGCTCTGTCGAATTCTCGATCTCTAAACGGCGGTTCACCAGTTGCCATCAAATACATAATAATACCAAAAGAATACACGTCAGACTTTTGAGTAAATTTGCGGGTATGGAAGACTTCCGGTGCGATAAATGGTAAAACACCTTGAACGGTTGAATTTGACTCGTATGCATTCACCGATCGTGAAAGACCAAGGTCGCATATCAATAATTCTATATTCGTATTTACATTGACATGCATGACAATGTTTCCGCCATGAAGGTCACAATGCACTAATCCTGCATCATGAATCAACTGCAGATAGTATGCAATTTTCTTCAAATGCCATAATTTATCCTTCCACGTCAATTTGTTAATACTTTGAACCAAATAAGACAAAAGACTGCCATTGTTAGCATATTGCATAACAATCATGTACTCTTTTGTCTCTGGGTCTTGT